ACGAGACTTTATCCATAACTCGACAAGGACATGACATATGGCCATACTTTTTTTTGCTTAGGTTGGCAGGACTGTTATATGTTTACATGTCAAATTTGAGCGCGATCTGTCACATAGTTTTTTTTTAAGGCACTATAAACAAGTAAACATCGAGTGTGTTTTTCGAATTTTACCTGTCTTGCCTATCACGTGCACGTATTTTTGATTGGTATAAGTCGTTCAAGGACGGCCGTACATCGATGGAGAACTTGCCCCATGATCGTCGTCCAGCAACGTCAATAAACGAAGAAAACGTCGAAAAAGTAAAGAAAATTGTGTTGGAAAATCGTCGTGTGACTGAAAGAGAGATAGCTAGTGAGCTAAACATATCAAATGGATCCGCTCATAGCATTATTCACGATGTTTTGGGCATGAGACGTGTGTCTGCTCGACTTTTTCCAAAATCCAGCTCATACGTCTCGTCTTGTACGCGATTATTTGACCAAAAACAACGTAAATATTGTTCCGCAAGCACCGTATTCATCCGACGTGGCACCGTGTGACTTTTTTCTTTTCCCTAAACTCAAATTGCCGCTTCGTGGAAAGCATTTTCAGTCGATTGAAGTCATAAAAGAGAATTCGAAGAAGGAACTGAAAGCCATACCTAAAGCGGCCTACCAGAAGTGTTAGGAAGATTGGAAAAAAAAAGGTGGCATATGTGTATCGCCTCTAATGATGACTATTTTGAAGGGGATAAAATAAATATTGAAGAATAATAATAAAGTTGTTTGAGCCAGTCTCGTTTATATTTAAGCAGAAGGTAAGTTGGAAAAATTGCCTATTAAATGTTTATTTTATTATGAATTCTGGGGTCTTTACCGGTAATACAGATTTTTAATTAAAAAGGCTTTTCATAGTTATAAATTTGTCATATCATAGAAATTTAAAACATAAATCTAAATAGGTATGCGCAACGATTTTTCATTAAGGAATATTCGTTGTGTCTATTTATAGCATTTCGCACATTGCGTGGTGTATTTTTCGTTTTCGAAGTTATATTTTTCGATGTTCCCTCATCTGGAATTACAAATTAGTACACAAAAAGATTTCATTTAACATTTGCTCCTTCTCTATTCATTAACATTCTCTGGTTAGGGTGTTCCAACATACTATACTCGTTCATACATACATACATATATACACATTATAGTAGGTTCAAAAAGTTAATTAAGTATTCAAAGTTTGTAATAGACGCAATTCCAGTCATAACAAATGTCTCAATACCATATGTTTATATAAGTATTTATTAATAGCGCTATTTTTAATGTAATGGTGGAAAAAAATCAAATGTCAAAGGTTAAAATAATATAGAAAGTGACAAATAAAATACCCGAATTAAAAATCTAACGTTGTAGACTTTTTTGATATCCCTGCCGTGCCTAATATCTTATACAAATTCATAAAAGATCGACTAACCTCAGGAAGCGTAAAGTACCACCCACATATGTATCTTAATTGAAACAATTGATTTCAGTTACGAAACGACAGTATGTGTGTGAGCATGTGCATTATATTTATTTTTGTTTCGTTGCATATATATATTTCCTTATACATACTTTTGTGTAGTATGTAGTTGGAAATTGCTTTTGTATATCCCAGAATTTGCACAAAAAAGACAGGTCGTAAGCTAAATTTGCTTCTTGAAAAATTGACAGAATACACATAAGTAAAGAATGGAAAAATGTATTAAAAAAAAATTCTAAGTAATCAGTTCCAAATATAAAATATAACTGCATATCTATTGTGGCATAGCATCGAGCAAACAAACAAAGAAATTTGATAATAAACATATTAAAGTGTGTTCAAAAAATAACGTTATTCCCTTGCGCGCTCAATTCGCGATAAACGGTTTATATTATTTTATTTTATTTTTTCAAATTAGGAAATGTTCAATTGCTATCTCTGAAGCGTTTTTTTTTAGTCTTCTTAATTTGTCAATAATTAGCCTTTCTAACGCAGCATCCTAAAGGTCCCAAATGAACTATTGAAAAAACTGCAAAGTATTTAAATACAAGGAGTAAGAAAGTAGTTTTAAGCACTCCCCAAAAGGTGTATGTTTATGGATGATTCTCTGCTTATGGATTTGGGGTTTTGAGGTTCTTAACAGAAAACCTGAACGCCGTTAGAAAGATAAAATTGTATAATAATGGTTTACTGACGTCAGCTGAAAGGCTTTACGGTAAAAATAAAAATACAATGCTCCGAAACATAGGAGCGACTTGTATTCAATAGAAAAAAGAAAACCATATTATTATTTTAGACTGGCCATCACAGTCCCCAGACGCCAATCCAATAGAGAATTTAATGAAAGCCAAAATATCAAGCATTTAACGTCAACAAAAGATTTCATTCGGTTGCTCCAACATTTTCAAAATTAATCTATCTATCTACTCCAACATACATCAGGTCACTTCATGTGGAATATATGGAAAATTTAATTGCAAGTTGTAATCGAAGATGACAGGCTATAATAGACAACGCGGGAGACTGGACCAAGTATTCAGAAAATTTTCAGCTACACGAAAACAATGTATTTTCTATAATTACATTTTTTTTAATAAACGCTACCTACACCGCTATATAAAGGAGTTGCAACAAATAATTTCGAATTCATCATGCATAATCATGCATTCATAAAGTACTTTTCGCGTTCGAAAATCAGTTTTATTTTTTAAATCAAATTAGAATAAAAACTAACTGTTACAGCGTCAACCGATCCAACTTTTGCGAAACAAAGCGATAAAAAATATACTTGGAAAGAAAACAGATAACGTCTCAGCATCACAAAATAATTTAAATGATTTAATCTGTGAATTATGATGAATACTTTCAAGAATTTATAAACCATTTTTAACTATGTACATGTCGCTTGGATTAGGTTATACGCGTTCTGCAATACTAATAGCAGCCATTTAACGAGAAAAATTAAAAATGATATTCCTGGAAATTTAAGTATAATATGTTTTAAGTATGTAGAATTATGCTATGAATAATTAATATATTTCATATATGAGAAACATGTAGTTAGGTAACCACACAGAATAGACATCATATACACAATCGTAATCGTAATTTTTGTACTGACAATCTCAAAAAAATTAATGAATAAAACATTTAATAGTGGTTTTGTTGGTAAATCTATCGTTTAGGTCCCCCAACTAAGGAGGCCTCAAAAATGATTTTTTTCTCGCGTCTTATTTTGACGCGAATATTACAAGCCAGTACAGGAGTTTGACGCGATTGAATTAAGAACACCCCGGTTTTGGACCTACCAGGGTTATTTTTTTGAAACGCGTTCGAAGCAAGGACAAGGATGACATGATGCGAGACTTTCTCATTTTCGTTAATTTTTCTGTTATTCACTTTCCCTGATTATTTTTTTGTATAGTTAGGTCCCCCAACTAAGGAGGCCTCAAATATTAAATTTTTTTTAAATCGTTTTATTTTTACGCGTAAATTACAAATCCGTGAGCGGCCGGTTTAAAAAAAATTTTATTTTTGAGGCCTCCTTAGTTGGGGGACCTAAACTAAACATTTACGCTCCTTTTTTGTTATTGCTGACTATTTTTCCTCATCCATCTGACTGCTTCAATTTGAGCCAAATACTGAACCTCTCTACTCAGTTGACTTAGGTTCCTCTTATCCAGAAGCTTTGACGTATTCGGCAGGCCGAAGCAAATATTTTCTTGACACCAGAACATTGTACATTCTGGTCATAGAGCATCGACTTAACATGCTGAAAATTTGCAAATGCAGCGCTTTGTATACGTATCTTTTTTATATTGGTCAGACCAACCGATGATTTTTAGAATTTAGGAACTAAGCACAACATTTCCACATTGGTTACATACGAATATTACTGGAATATATTTTTTCAACATACATACGAATGTTGTGGTAAATAGAGCATAAACTGTAAAAATATTTTCTACTTAAGCATTCGTGTATCCATATGTCTTGTATTTGCTTAGATATCCATATATAATCTCTTCAATTAAAATTTTTAATTTATTAAAGTTTTTGTTATTAAATTCTTTTGCACCAGGTACCAAACCTTAAGCTTAAATTGTGATGTGATCAAATAAATCTGTTCCCCATATGCACAAAGTAAAATTATTACATGCGTGATATTATTTTCACGTTGATATGTGTCTAAAAACAAAAAATTATCCACAGTGATGATATCTTATTTATCATTCAATGCAATTATAAAGGTATAAATACCGAATTCACTTTCATGTCTGTACATATATGCGTTTTTAGAAACAGAAATGTAAACTGATTAACAAAGAAAAGAATATTGTTAATAACAGATAGAAAACAATCAGCAACGTCACCTGTTTTATAAATGGTACTGTGTTATTATAGTGTTAATTTTACTTCTTATATATGCTTAAAACATGGAAATGTGACAAAAAGTATTTATGTTAGTTTACTTATTTTATAGAATGTTTTTAGTATCGCAACTAAATCATACCATTTACGAGATTAATTACAAATATAAATTCTAAGAATTACCAGAAAAAAATAATTACTGAGTAACACTGCCGTTCATGTTACCAATTTTAATTTACTCATAACAATATTTATTATGTTAACTTCCGAACTATGTCAACAAGTTTACGAGGAAATAATGAGTCTGCATATATTAAGCAGCCATTCGGTATTAATTGGCATTTCTATTATTTCAGTATATTTTATAGAAATTGAATTTTGTATCCCACTATCGAACCACAACCACAAATGAAATACATCGACAGACCTCAAAAAAGTCTTATTCTTTTTGCATTTGTATTGTCATTTTGCGTTTAATGCAATCGTAGTATTTATTGCTTTCATCATTTCCTTATTCACCTAATTTTACACCAACATCTAAATAGTTTCACTTTTAATTAGTTATTCGCATCATACTGTGGCTCAAAATTACTGGAATTGATTTAAATTTGTAAATGTGCACTTACTTTTATCAAATTTACTAGCTGTACCCGAATTAAATATAGAAATTAGAAATATTAGTGCTCCAACACTGTGTAAAATATTATTTTTCGTCATGTCTATTTGCTTGATAATCTCCAACTGAGGTGAAATTGCAATGATTTCGCAAGTGCTGTTCGTTTACTTCTAAAGTCTTGCCAGACGTTTACCAGTTATTCTATTCATCGATTTTACAAAAGGCGTTTCCGCTGAATATTGCATTATATTAAGTCGTTCAAATTCTAAGTAAATTTTTACTTTTTTATATGGTACGTATTTTTTGTTCATACAGGTAAGGGAATACCGTAAAAACATTCGACACAAAATTTTAAAAACCGTTCATATAACAGTATGGTAGCACAAGAAAAAATTAAATTAACTGCGTTCATACACAGAAAGTTTTTCAGCGGCAACTCGTTGGTTGTATTTAAGAAGAGCTACCGCGAACGGAGAAAGACACCTATATGTATACAAGTGTTCATAATATGACAAGTATGCATTATAAATTATTTTGTGAAAGATTTAAGAAATTTTAAGAAAGAATTCCGACTTATAGTCAACAAAGAACTGTTTCCAAGCAGAATCCCCCTTGACCAATAGGTATTTTACCAGTGTGTTACATCCTGAAGTCAAACAAACGTTTATTTAAAGCGTTATTCATATGAAATTACACAAATTTAATTTTAATCTTTTGATAGAACACGCTACTGAGCGTATGCTTATAGGCCTACGAAGGGAGAAACTTTATCTTACTTTACTCTGTTTATCCAGTCAAGGACTGTCAACTCGGCAGAAATCTGGCACTACGACAACAACAACAATCTGATTTAAATATTGTCAAACATAAGCATTCATATACCACCTTATGTTCTAATAAAGTGCTTTGAAAAATATTGCTTCGAATTGGCAATTGTTTTTTTTTTTAATTCCGATTAAAAACAAACAAACATAATAATAATAGCTTTCGAAAGTTGCTGTATTTCGTTTATTTGCTTGTGACATCTGGATTACAGAGGCTTAATCGCAATCGATATCATGTAATAAAATTTTTACAAATTTCAACATAACTCCGAGTACATTATAAATGTTATATCGAAATAAATGTGATATCAGTGAAACATATTAATATAATATATTACTTTTTAAACAAGAGTAAATTATTTAATACGCATGTTTTAATCTGGCAAACAAGAGTAAATTATTTAATACGCATGTTTTAATCTGGCAATATTACTTCAAAACTCGCCATTTTGTTTTGTCTTTTCACCACTTGGGTGCACAGAAAATTTCAAGAAGGCGAAGACCAAGTCTGCTTTAATTTTCAGATTGGATTAAAATTTAGACCAAATTTTGAAGATAGCGAATGTTCTTTATTAATAATATATAGTGATATGTATTTACATACGATTTGTAATTGATTTGAATGGAAAGGTATGACTTGTACTTTCGCAGTTTTGTAATTAAAAGAACAACATCGAGAGCGAATGAATGTCTTCGTATCAAGTGTGGTAGAATAGGCGTTAATGTATTTTTCAACTGTTGGAGACAGGGTAGGCGACGGTGTTGGAGCTAAGATATATAAAAAAACGTATTTTTAATCTACTAAGTCCGGAGCAATAATACAAATAATAAGAAAAATAGAGATATAGTGTATATAGATAAATTAATAAGTTACATAAAAACTAAATTGGGGTGCCGAAGCGATAAGAAAACGCAAGTGGTGAATGACGAATGTGTGGGCAAATGTGTAGGTTTGTATGTGGAGCAGGGCGATGGAGATATGGATTAAGGTATATTTTATCTTTGTATGCTGAATCTATTATTTTTATTTAAATAAATCGGATTTTGTTGCCGTATATATTTTCCTTAAAATATATAAGTTCATTTTAATGCGGCTTAATTCAACGAAAGACTATGTTATTTTTCTGAAATGTCCTCTTCATGTTATCATACAACTTTTCGTTCGTATTGTAAGTAAGTAAGATGCAATGTAAAAAAGCAACGGCGCCGACGTTGACGCACCCATCAAACGAAAAGAAAAATATTGCACAGGTATTAAAAAATTGTAAATATGTCCACAGACTCTTTCGAAACTGCGATTAGTGAAATTACCAAATAATATAATTCTGGGCCTTAATATTATATTATTATAATTTAACCCGATGTAGCTGTAAGTTGTTAAAGCTTTAATATGCTAACTCGTGTGTATATATATTATGGATATGATTATGTGTGATTACAGTTTATATTTCTTAATCATTTAGGATCGAGAAGGTGGAGTGAAATCAACATTACAAGAAAACGTAAGCACCTTCCCTGAGAATAATAACATGAACAACGATGCCACCTGCACGTCCTGGAAGTCTTAAGGATCCGGAAATTGCCGATCTTTTCTATAAACATGATCCAGAAAAAATATTCGAGGACTTGCGTGAAATTGGTCATGGCTCGTTTGGCGCTGTTTATTATGCGCGATGCAACCTTACCAAAGAAATCGTGGCCATTAAAAAGATGTCCTTTTTGGGAAAACAAAGCCTTGAAAAATGGCAGGATATTCTTAAAGAAATCAGGTTGAATATGCTTTCAAAATTTTTATATGACATCACAAATTAATTATTATGTTTTTAATTTTTAGATTTCTTCGTCAACTGAATCATCCGAACACCATTGAATACAAGGGCTGCTATTTACGTGAATCAACAGCTTGGCTGGTAATGGAATATTGTGTTGGTTCGGCTTCAGATATTATTGAAGTACATAAGAAGCCTTTACACGAGAACGAAATCGCTGCAATATGTGATGGCGTATTGAACGGCTTGAGTTACTTACACAGTTTAGGGCGCATACATAGAGACATAAAAGCCGGCAATATTCTCCTCACAGATAATGGTATTGTGAAATTAGCGGATTTCGGTAGCGCTGCTATTAAGTGTCCAGCTAATAGTTTTGTGGGCACCCCATATTGGATGGCCCCGGAAGTGATTCTAGCTATGGATGAGGGCCAGTATGATGGTAAAGTCGATGTATGGTCCTTGGGTATTACTTGCATTGAATTGGCTGAACGAAAACCACCATATTTTAACATGAATGCAATGTCTGCCCTTTATCACATTGCTCAAAATGATTCTCCAAATTTATCCGTAAGGCAAACGATAGATATTTATTCATATTTGAATTTGTTTTGATTACCTAAAATATATTTGCAGAAAAATGAATGGTCAGATACGTTTTGCAATTTTGTTGAGTTGTGTCTTAAAAAAATGCCCGTGGAACGACCATCGTCAACGAAACTGCTAAAACATGAATTTTTGACACAGCCACGTTCAGATATTGTGCTACTTGAATTGATAGCACGTACAAAAGCTGCTGTGCGCGAATTAGATAATTTAAATTATCGTAAAATGAAAAAAATACTAATGGTTGATACCTGCGAGACTGAGAGCGCCATCGGCGATACAGACGATACACAAGACGAACATGCTGGCGGTGATAGCAGCAAGAGTAATAGTATTACTTCAGAACACTCCATACATTCGGTGGGTGTGTCGGCGGCCAGTAGTCAAGTAGTACAGCAATCCCAAATTTACCATAAGTGCAAAAGTACGTAATTAATTTCTTGCATTTCTATTACAGAGCTCTTCGTCGAATTCTATTCCCACCACTCAAAATCATATATTGACGCAACAGCAGCATATTGCTGTGAATTATCAACAACAGGCAGCTGCTGCGGCAGCGGCGGCGGCTGCAAGTGGAGTTGTTGTACGAAATTCATCACGTCAAAGGAATCTGCCGCCACTACCTAATATTATGCACACAATGAACAATAATGTTACGCCAACAAATTCAACTTCTGTTGTACCAGCGCCTATGATGCCTGTATCATCCGCCAGTCATTCAGCAGGAGGAGGCTCTCCTGCTGCTACAGCGAATATGGGAACAGGCATGTTATCTCAAGCTACCGGTGTTTGTGTGGGCAGTGCGGGCGGTGCTGGCGATCGTATGCCTCGCTATTTGTCATCACCTGCCGCCGCAGCTGCAGTATATGCTGCATCGTCACAGCAAGCCATCTCTAATGCCGTCAATGAGCATGGACCTAACAATTTTGCCACTATTCGGACTACAAGTATTGTAACAAAGCAACAGAAAGAACACATGCAGGTAAATAATTTGTCAGAAAGTTTGTTTTGATTATGTATCTCTCACCATTCAATCATGCATGCATTTTTAAATCTTTACTAAAGCCCTTTTCGTAGTATCTCTAAATAATATTATTCCAATTATATTATTTCATTATCCATGTGATATCCAGCATTAATATCTGAACAACAGTCAACAGAGTTATTTAAAAATCGGTAAAAGTTCTTAAGGTGTTAAATTTTAGTTTTTTCAACAACATAAATAATATAAAACTTATGTTTATCTATAAGCATAGGTATTGATTTCTGTTTTTTTGTTATATCAACCGTGTTTGCACCATCATTTTTTTACTGACTTAACTATTATGAGATTTAATTCTTATTTTTGATGTGTTATTTTAAGAAAAGCAATAATATAATTCGAATACCATCATTTCAGATGCCATGCCCATACACTACCTTTAATCCAAAGTCATAAAATTTTAATAAATTTAAAAGTATTCAGTTTTGTTTGCTGAGTGCTTTGGTAGCGAAAAACAATGCCTTCATTAAAATTTTTTTCTTCTGCTGTTATCTTTCTGTTTCTGTTTAAATATTACTTTATTTAAAATTAACATTTATGGTAAAGAAAACATTATTTGAAGTTTTGCATAATAATGAAGTCCTAACATTTTATGTGGCAAAGTCACAAAACTTGTTTAATTAACCGTCTCATTGCTTCATTTTAATATGTGAAAAAATATAGCATACTGAAATTAATACGACATTATTTTTAATAGGAATCATACTCCTATGCCCTGTGTCCATCCACATGCGCTAAAAGTGGCCAATGTACAATTTCATAAATGAGTTGAAAATTTGCACAAAAGACGAAATTTGAAATCACAAGATGGCCGAATTAGAACCCAGAACAAAACGGTCGAATTTTAAGTTAAACTCTTCCCATCTATTTTGAGATATGAACCACAATCAGTATTATTATTTATTCGACTTCATACGGAGTTCTCAACTACGTATTAACAGGTGCTGATGTTTCTAAGCTATCAAATTAAAGTCAAAAAACGTACCTTAAATCACCTTGCAGTTTTCACAATTTGCTTGATACTAAAACGCTTAGAGAGGTTGTGAGCTTTACTTTTGCTTCATGCTTGTTATTTAAAAATACTTCTTGTCTTGGAGTATTATAAGTATCTTAACCTCCCTCCATCTAATGCATTTCATTAGTAATGTCGTTACCTGAATTCATTTCTTTATTAAGTGTGCTTTATTTATGTGCCTGGCACACATGGTTGCAAATAATACATTAAAAAAATAATTGAATTAAAATATGAATTAAAAAATGTTAAATCCACATATCGGATTAAATAAAAGAAAAATTTTGAATCCCACAAAAAAAAAATTAATCCGAAAAACCGATTTAATAATTTATTTTTACTTTTTAATTTCAACTACCGGATAATAAAAAAAAATTTCAATCTGAAGCATATAATTATGAATTAAAAAAAGAATTTGATTTGGAATTCATATTTTTCAAGTTCATTCATATCAAAAAATAATATTTTCCATTTTAAATTCCAAACATCTTGGATTAAAAAATGAAAACGAAATTTTTCAATTAGAAAATTGATCACCCTGCTCTGGCACATATATAAAATATAAGGTGGGGAAAATAACTCGACTTAAAAATGTATTTAATGTAATTGTCGCCAGGTGTTAAACACCTTCATAGATACAAAAATGCAATTTTAAAACTTTTTTTAGTTAATGAGTACAGTAGCCAGAAATTGCATTGTACATGGCAACCGGTACCTGATCATAGGCAACTGAGTAGCCGGACATCAGTTAATGCATTTTTCATTTACTCACCAAAATTGATATCCAATAAACTTAAGCAGATTATGCAGTTAATGCATAGAAATATGGTAATTTTACGACAAATATGGGAATATATATAAATTTATTAAATTTAAGGGTTTTAAGTTTCAATGAACGTCATTCTCTTCTTTTTTTCATTTTACGAATTCTTGTAGAAAATTGAGTAATGCTGCAAATTACTTTGAACAGTGCTTCTAAAAATTGAAGAATCATGTATGTTGTCTGCTATTTCAAATATACCGAGATCAATAGCCATATGCAATTCTAATATAGCGACCATGGTGAATAGGGATCCCTTACATAATAGGGGTGTAAGAATAACTAGACTAGAATTAAAAGTTTGACATTAAGGGCAAGGCGTCTCTTTACTAGATAGTATTCGAAGTTCGACCATATTTTCTGAACTCCATATTCATGATAAACTTTTATGTAGAGCGAAATTTCGCTCGAGCCAATGGTTGAATTTTATTTCATAATCCCTATTAAATATTCCCTTCATTATGTCCATTGAATTGTAGTTTTTACTAGTAGTAATAGTATCAAAATAATTATTGCGTGTTAGTAAAGTACTTACAGCATTGCTGTATAAAAAATACGCATTCCAAAATTGTCATTAGAATGAATATGTAGAGATTCCAACTAAGCATACTGAATTGAAACGTAATCATTATTCATCAGCGAAAACTATAAATTTGTGACTTACATACATTTGTATAGTTACTTGGTTCTAAACGCATATTTCCTGTCGACGTGAACTTCTTAGTTAAAGGTATTTTATGTTAGCTATAAAATTCTTTTTGATTTTTTATGTTGGGATAATTGAAACAATCAGTTCAATATGTTTAGTCTGGCATTGTATTAATCGAATAATTTCCATTAGATTTGAACTAGCAGTGCAATAATTATTATTTAATTGTTGAGCAGGAGGAAATGCATGAGCAAATGTCTGGCTATAAACGAATGCGTCGCGAGCATCAAGCTGCGTTACTGAAGCTCGAAGAGAAGTGTAAATTGGAAATGGAGGCTCACAAAGGAGCATTAGACAAGGAATATGATAATCTCTTATACAACTTCACACGGGAACTGGAGCGTTTAGAGGTTCGATTTTGATCTGTAATTTCATTATCGTTAAAATTCTGCCTCACAATTGTTTTTCTTTTTTTAGGCGAAGCATCAGCAAGACTTAGAACGTCGTCAAAAGCAAACATCCGCAGCGGAAAAGAAACTATTCAAGGAGATTTCTTTGAAACAGGAAAGTGATCGCAAAGCCTTTGATTTAAATCGCAAAAAGGAATATAAAGCTAATAAAGAACGATGGAAACGTGAATTATCGATGGATGAATCTACACCGAAACGGCAACGTGACCTGACGTTGCAATCACAGAAAGATAACTTGAAGCAAGCAGAAGCGCAAGAGGAACAACGTTTGTTAAGAGTACAAAAACAGTATATCGATTTGGAGATGCGGAAGTTCAAGAGAAGACGCCTAATATCTCTTCACGAGCTCGAAGATCAGTTATTGCGTGATGTGAGTCCTTACAACTGCTCATATCTCTCATCTTCGTACGGTAATGAAAACTTTCATATTTCTAGGAATTAAGCAAAAAGCAACATCAATTAGAGCAAGCGCATGCTATTCTGCTGAAACATCATGAAAAAACGCAGGAACTAGAATATCGTCAACAAAAAAGTGTACATCAGCTTCGCGAGGAGCAGGTAAGGAAATGTAGCCAGACTGGTCGTTATAAATTTATTCATTCCATACCACCACGAATTTTATTAAAATGGATACATAATTTCATAAGATTACCTAGAAGTACAATGCAGTCATTATGGAGCTCACTCCAGTTCATATTATGAATAATCAAACTGCAAAACAAACAATCCTTGAGATGACAGTAGAAGTGCATGGTAGAAGAAAGGTGATTTCTTCCCAAAAAATGAAGCCTATTGGTGAACAAATCCCACTGGTTCTTCTCAAAGAAATTTGCCTTTGGTAGCAAAGTTGAATGGAATGACTCCACTTAGGCAACTCGAAAAGGTATAGGTGAAAAAATTATCATCGCTAAGTTTTCCATGCCTGTGGGCAGTTTTTCGAGCATCTTTCAAGCAGAGGTCTTTGCAATAAGTCAGTGTAAAGATGTAAATCTCCAGCGCAATAAGCGTATTGGCATACTAAGCGATCGGCATGCAGCACCTTAAATGATCTTGTCTAACAAAACTAAATCGTTATTGGTTCAGGAGTGCGTGGAACGACGTAATAATCTGTCACCGGGACCACCTTATCTGGATGTCAAGACATAAAGACGTAGCCACATGTCTCAGTGTATACCTGAATAATTATCTATCTCTCTAGAAGAAGTGAAGGCAAAACTAAATCCATTAAAAAATAAGCGTAAAAATGTATGTTTAATTAGTCCTCATTGGCATGCAACTCTTAACATATTTGCAAGCACTAAGAAGTCTCTATGATACTATCCAATATATTCAAATACAAAATTTCGGTGCTTGACTTAGCATCGTAAGAAGAAAATTAATTGGACGGCACCTAGCCGTACATGCATTATAAATTGGTTAATAAAGGCTTAATAAAGTAAACTTATATATATATATGTAATATGATTAATGATTGTATTGTTTCATAATTTTTGTACTCTTGCAACATGTTGCTACAGAGTATAATAGTTTTGTTCACCTAACAGTTATTTGTATCACCTAAAAATAATCGAGTTAGATATAGGGTTATATATATATATATAAATAATCAGGATGAAGAGACGAGTTGATAACTTGAGTTAAAATTGAGATATCTGTAATGAAACTTGGTACAAGTGTTCCTTAGCAAAAAAGTGAGGACAGATTCGTAGATAGGCGTAACCGGACCACTACCACGCCATTAATCGAATACCTATGAATTGCCATAACTAAGCCGCAAATTAAGATACAAACCCGAAATTTCGTACAACGAATCGCAAAAATGACGCGCACCTGTGGTTTGAAAATTTTTTTAAAGTGGGTTTAATGTATATATTTCCTAAACTATTCAAGCTATATTACCCACATTTTCACAGGACAAATTATTTCGACACCTCTTGTGAGGTTTCAACATGAAAATAGGTGAAATCGGATGGTAACCACGTCCACTCCCCATATAACGGTTTTGTTAAAAACTTCTAAAACTGCAAAAAACAGAAAACGAAATGAGTCAGAGATATGTAATTTTTGCATCCGAGGTGACACAAGAGGACTATAAAGGAGGAGGTGTCAAAATTGGAAAATGAGCACCGCCGTCATTATGAAATCGCATATCTATCTCCAAACGTACTCCACCAATTTCAACCAAATTTGGTACATAAGATTATTTCGCCTCGATTCCATATAACAGAACTGCAATTCCATCTGATTTTTTCACTTTCCAGTATACAAATCAAGCACTAATTAATATATCGGGATACAAATTTGCACGAATATTTCCTTGTGCGATTTGCCACAATTGAAGAGATCAAGTCAGAATCGAAGAAAGAGCTGATGACCATACCGAAAAGCGCATTTCAAAAGTGCTTCGAAGATTGGAAAAAGCGTTAGCACAAATGTACTATATCCGAGGGGGCTTACTTTAAAGGGGACAAAATAGATACTGATGAATAAATAAGTACTTTTCACCACAAATTCAACATTCACCTTTTCCTTTGACCACACATTTAATTTCTATGCCCCCAATGATTTTAGTATAATTTTCGCTGACGGGAAGTAAAATATAGTATACAACTGAATGAGTCTATGATACCAAGTTTGGTTGAAATTCTTTCACCAGTTCGTCGAACAATGAAGTTGAACCCTTTCGCTAAATTTTTTAATATTGCCAAAACTGAAGGTATTTTGCCGGCTTTGACCCTCGCAAGTTGCAAGAGTATTAAATGTTCGGTTAAACCCGAACTTAGACCTTCCTTACTTGTTTTAATATAAAGTTTTGCCAACACCTGAAGGTATTCAGCCGTCTTTGATCTTTGCAAGTTACAAGAGTATAAATTGTGAAAAACTCGGTTTCGTTTTTATACTCTCGCAACCTGTTGTTGTATCATCTAAAAGTAATCGAGTTTGATATAGGGTTATATATATATATAAATGATCAGGATGAAGAGACGAGTTGAAATCCGGGTGACTGTCTGTACTTGGGTAAAAATTGAGATATCTTTATGAAACTTGGTAGACATGTTTCTTGGTACCGTGAGACGGTTGGTATTGCAGATGGGCGTAATCGGACCACTGCCACGCCCACAAAACGCCATTATTCAAAAACAAATAAATTGCCATAACTAAGCTCCACAACAAGATACAAGACTCTTCTTTGGTATACAGGATCACAATTAGGGAGGGGCATCTGCAGTTAAAATTTGTTTTTTTTTTAAAGTACGCGTGGTCCCGCCCCTAATAGGTTTATTGTGCATATCTCCTTAACCGCTAATGCTATATTAACAAAATTCACTGGAAGCAAATGTTTTTAGAACCTCTACCTACAGTGTGAAAATGGGTGAAATCGGGTGGCAACTCCGCCCACTCCCCATATAACGGTATTGTTAAAAACTACTAAAAGCGCGATAAATCAAGCACTAAACACGCCAGAGACATTAAATTTTATCCCTGGGGTGGTATGAGATGACTTTATAGGAACCGCGTTCAAAATTAGACAGTGGGCGTGGCACCGCCCACTTTTAGGTGAAAACCCATATCTTGGGATCTGCTTAACAGATTTCAACCAAATTCGGTACGCCTACTTTCCATATGACACTATTTTAAATTCCATCTGATTCTTTCACTTTTCACTATGGAAATCAGGCAACAATGACTGTATCGGTTGACCTTCTACCGAAAATATCGGTCAATCCACAAACGAGTATACGATTTGACTTTGCGAGAGTATAAAATGTTCGGTTACATCCGAACTTAGCCCTTCCTTACGTGTTTTGATTATATGTTTTTCTGCAGTTTCTGTGGCGATATTATTAATTCTTAATTTTTTCTTTGTTGTAAATACGAATAATCTTTTGCAGATAAATACTCAGCACGATACGGAACTGAAGAATCAAAATGACTATATGGACCGAGTTAAAAAAGAACTTTTGCGGAAACACGCTCTTGAAATCAGACAACATCCTAAAAGTTTAAAGGTTTGTATACGTTTGTGACTTTGTAACTTTGAAAACCACTAAATGTGATATATTTAAAAAATATAAACAAAAATTTGCAATTGTTCAAATTTCTCTTAGTAAAATGCTAAATTTGTGTTTATTTTTTTTTTTTACAAAAATACTGATATATGTACCTCTTCTTAGTAGATGTATAGAGTTTTAAAAAAATTTTATTTAAATAGGGTATACGTTTCTAAAAATATCAAAGTATTTTAGGACAATTAGCACAACCCATTTCTACTCATCCACAATCGATTGTTTAATTTTTATTATTCTGGTCCATAACTTTTTTTTTTAATTTAGCAAAAAGAACTGCAAATCCGCAAACAATTCCGCGAAACTTGCAAAACTCAGACAAAACAATATAAACGGTATAAGGCACAAATTCTCCAGACCACACCAAAAGAGCAACAAAAGGAGGTAATAAAACAATTGAAGGAAGAGAAACATCGAAAATTAACACTTCTAGGCGAACAGGTGAATAAATATAAAATCAACGTACTTTAAATTATATTACATTTGAACTTTTTAAATTTCTAGTACGAACAAAGCATCGCTGACATGTTTCAAAGTCAGAGTTACAAATTGGATGAGACCCAAGTGATTGAGTGCCATCGTACCAACGAGCAGTTGGAATACGAACTTGATGTGCTCACTGCCTATCAAAATAAAAACAAGAAACAAGCTCAAGAGCAACGTGATCGTGAGCGTAAAGAGTTGGAAAATAGAGTAAACGTTCGAAGAGGTTTACTGGAGAGTAAGGTAAAGTGACATGACTGTTATTGTAAATGAGAAAACACAAAATTATTTTATTTGATTCAGATGAATGCGGAGTTACAGCAGTTCAATCAAGAGCGAGCTGAACGTTTGCGTATCAAACAGGAGAAGCATGCCAGAGAACTGGAAGCTTTCGATCAGGAATCGCTTTCGTTAGGTTTCAGGTGAGAATATGAGAATTCTAAAAATCAAATTTAAGAAAAAAACGAATAATAATAATACTAATTCTTTAGGTGGGGTCATTTATAACTAAAATTGTATAAGTTCCTAGCTAAAAAAAGTTTCATATAAAAAAATGCATAACATTTCAGGCCATTTCCATACTACCGTGTCGAATTCTTTTGATATTTATTTTTTTATTGAAAAATTTATTAAATGTTCATGTGAAATAAAAAGAGGTCGATACGTATTATAGGACAGCGAAATTTTTTATAAATTCGTTCTAAGTGACCTAACCTAGAAACTTAGAAAGAAGATCATCACCAATAAATTTAACAAACCCGAATTTACTTCACCCTGTAGATCGTCGGGCTGTTCAAAAAAACGTGCTATTTTTATGATACGAATTTGACTTTATTTTTATTCTTCTTAGGTTTAGGGTAAAATACAATATGTATACACATAGTTTTAGTTTACAAATTGTATTTATAATTGAAAATTTGCATAAGTTGTTAAGTATTTATTTATAAGTATTTCTATTTTGTTCTATTTCTCTTATAGTGCTCTATCACTCAGCGAGGTATCGCGCGAAACATACCCCGACGAAGAGGGTAGCTTATCAGGGTCCATGATCAGTTTAGCGCATAGTAATAGCTCTACAAGTTTTCCGGCAGGCTCCCTATAGCATAAAAACTTTAATAAGTATAAAAACGACAATTTTATTACAACTAACATAATTTCAATAACTAAGAAAGGATTTCGTAATTCTAGTGATGATGGTAAAAACCAAGTAAAAGAAGTAATGTAAAAAAGAAACTCAATAAAATATTAAACACTAATAATAATAACGAATACATTGAAGAAGGAAAAAGTGTGAACAATGAACGAAGCAAAAATAATAATAAAATGCAAAAAACAAAATTAAATATATGGCACTGATTGCAGCAAGCAAAATATAAACAGCAATAATGCATATTAGCAGTTGACGCCGGTTCATATGTTTACAATTAAGTTATTAAATTACCTAAAATTTAATTGCAATCTAGAAACACAGCAAAGCATATATTCAAGATATGAAACGTGGTAATTAAATATACCATTAAAGAAAACATAGGCATTAGTGGAAAGTTTCTTAAGCTGTAAGGCTTTGAATAAGATAATCAAAAAAGGCGTAACAAACTAGGACGCTATTTTTTTTTATAATGCAGTATAATAGCGCTATAAAGAAATACCATAAAAAATACTTACACTGTCGTAAGTCCATATGCCCACACGAATGTTTGCTTACATATAAACGATTTTATATGCATTTAAAGCTGGTGTGAAAATTGCATTTCCTTCTAAATGTTTGCAAGATATGAAATTTGGGTAATGTGAGCTGGAGAGATGTATGCAATTGCATTGTATTATAGGGCTATCTTTCATATAGACTGATATAGTCGAGCTTTGGTACTCATATATAGATTTAGAATTCGGTCATCATATACATTCAGTTGTATATGCCAATATTCCTTGTGTCCAGTATTCATTGTAACGATTTCTTTGCACGCAATAGCATGGGCAATTCTTGATATTTTTCTTGCTGTGATATTACATATCAAAGAGTGCAACATCTTGATTTATATTGATGATATATGTATGTGTATATACAATCAGAAACAAAATGGGATGGAATTATATTTTTTTTTCATACATTAGCCTGTCTGTCTGTTAGTTGAGTCTAGTCCCCATCGTTAGATATCTTAATCTTTAGAAATTTTGTTTAGATACATTGATATGTGTAGCACTTTGAGTGAAGCATACGGAAAACTCAATTCCAGTTATCATAGCTCGGAAGAGAAATTTGGTATTTTTAATTATTATATGGAAATTTTGTGAAATAGCATTTCCATACATTCATCTATTGAACTTAAAACCAACGCAAGAGTGTGAGCTAAGGATTCAACTTTAGAATGATTTGGTAATATTACTTTTATGAAAACCAAGGGGAGATAGTACGAGTATAATGTAAATAAAAGCTAGTTGTGTTTGTTATTTATGCTCAACGGTTGTACGCGCTCATTTGCAAAAGTTTAAAATTTTTAGTTTCTAAATGCTTCGTTGTTTTATTTTAATTTAAGAATTAATCAATTCTAACGATTAATGCAAAGAGTTTAGTCAAGTCTTCAGCAATGGTCAATTATATTCGGAACCGGTTGGAATTCCCGAGTTTGTGCCACTGACTCACTCAGTATCGCCAAATTGTGTAGGCCTCTCATTGGGAACTTCTGCTGCCAAAATATATGGTTGAGTTAACATTCCATTAAAGTCAATTTGAACTGTGGCACAACTCATACTGCTGTAAGATCTGTAAATTCCTTTTAGTCATTGGATAATGCTGAAATGTCAAAGCAAGTTTTTGGGATTCGTGAGTTTTTCAATATTGAAACATATAATTATTCCTGGATGTACGCAAACACTTTCTAATTTTGAAACGAAACTAATTTTTTCATTAGAATAAATTTTAATTTTTAAATTTGAAAGAACTTATATGATTAGAATGCGGTCGAGTATCGCCACTGAACCAATAGTAGATATGTACTAGAGTTTGTAATACTTCATATTCGCCATTAACTGCATATTTTGATTGTATTGGTTTGTGATTGCGATTTCGCTTTGTTATTTGAGCCGTTCATATTGTATCAAAAGTTATAAATAAGAATTGCATGGAAAAAGTAAATATACAATATATCAAGAAATTCGAGAATTAATAATAAAATGGAAAGGCAAATTAGAATATTTAAAATAAAATTAATTTTTTGAAAATTAACAATTAGCCAAAATGTTGTGTTAATATAATATTACGTAATTTTAGTAAACAAATTGATATTGTAAATTTGTTCATATTTTTTATATATATATATATATATTTTTGTTTTTATCAATTTTGTTGTTGAATTGTGAGGCGAAGAAGAGAAGGTTTGTTGCTGCAGCATTTATCCTAGCCACCGATTAATGAAGTGCTTCGTACGCCATTCGTTCAGTTTTGTTCAGAGTTTAAAAGATTTATATTCGCGCATTCAACTATATAAAGAATATAAAACAAAATGAACAGCATTAAGAAAACTTATACTTGTATAATAAAGCTGCCGAAAACACATATGCAAAGCTTAAGTACATATAATTTGAGTATGGTGTGAAACGCCCGCTAAAACATAATCAGTGTACAGTACTTTATTACAAATATTTTAAAAATTATTGTATTATGTTCATCGAGGAAAGGATCACGACATTGTAAATACGATTTGACTGGCCATTGAGCCAATCATTGAAGTATTACAATACCATTCTTTCGCCTAATCCTACGTAATTAAAATTTCAGACGATTACTAGCACTGGAAAATAAAATACTACGGTTTAATGTGATTGTTGTTGTTCCTTTCCTCTGCTTCAGTAAATATTTATTTTAAATAATATAAGACCTACAAAATGTAATTAAACATGCAAATGCAATTTCCATATATGAAAGTGTGTAAAATAGTTTCCACGCCAGCAAAAATCAACCAATTATAATTATTAAAACAACATAAACAAAGCAAATCTAAAACACACTTTTAGTAGTTTAGTTTTCTAGTAACATAAAATTTGTAATAATACAATAAAAATAAATTCATATACATACCTACATATATATTATATATATATATATATATATATATACAAGTATATATATATATTTAAAAACAACAACAACAAAAGTTAGAAATGTATTAAGGAACCATAAGAAAAACTTTATGTTAAAAATATTGAAATTCAAATTTATTTTATTTTTATGCTAGATATAATAAAATCGAAGATAACAAATTAATAAGTCTATAAAAATAAAGACGTCTGAAAATCAAATATATTTTGTAAGTTCTTTTTGTACTTGTAGTAGGTAATAAAATTGTAGCATTTGAAACTATAGAAGATCACAGCCTGCCCACAAGTATCCCAGATCCAAGTACTTCACTTCAAATCAACCCAACTCTTTTTGGTATGACGAACTACAACTAATATCAGTCGAATTTTCATTGACATTGTTAACCTAAATAAAAGATAATTAAGTAGCTGAAATTCTTTTAACGAAAAAATTATAATATTTCGATTAAGTTCTTGTTCACCAAATAGAACAATGGCATTAATACTGAAATGTCCATACAAGTGGTGTATAACCTCAGGCACTAAATATGTACTCCAGTGACTTTGTATGGTCAGTGGCTACTCACTAGCACAAGCTCAAAATACCTAGGACTTATAAATGATAAGAGACGTACATGGAGAGAAGATATGGAAATTAAGAGAAAAAAGCTCAGGTTAAGGTTTTCGCAGCTGTACTGACTCCTAAAGTCAAGATCCCATCTCAGTCTTAAGAACAAACTACTTATATATAAAACAATACTCAGACCGATTCAAATTTTAAAGTTATTTAAGCCTTCCAAAAATAAGTACTTCGCACTATATGTTAGAAATGATAGAGGCTTAACAATGCCCACTGTAAAAGAAACTTTCGATGAATTTAGTAGTCGTTACCTTTCTCGATTGGAGAGCCTTGATAACGTACTCAGTAAATTTAGTTGTTGTATTTTTAATAATAAGACAGATTCTAAATAAAGCTGAATGTTATACAAAAAAAAAAAACTACAAGAATAAATATTAGAATGAACATTATTTTAGATTTATATAACAATGGCGCAAATGTTGGACCAAAAACTGATGTACTGCGCAAGTAAGCCATAGTTTTATTGACAATTAAATTGCCTTTAAATAATGTTTGTTGCAGATTCATAAGTGATGCCGAAGCTATAATACCTTTCACAGGTGCATTTCTTTTAGTAACTACTATATGTATGACTACATTTAAAAACGTAACTTGCCAACGGTTTGCATCCAAGGGAAAGCATTTTGCCAGTTCTTTCTAGCCAGGTTCTTTGCTATAAACAATCTTCTATTCGAATTAAGGTTAGTTATTGAGGTAAATAGATCTTCCAGACATTTACATAAATTTTAATTTTTTAAGCTGATTGATTGTTCACATTAAATTAATGGAAAACAAAACAAATTATAATATTTATAGAAATTAGAAAATATATAACATATTATAATATTTATTATTCTATAATACTTTTTTATATAGTATGTAAGTTACAATAATGACATCTATGACTTACACTTTATATTATAATACAAAGTTATATTTAATAATATTGAATATAACATATATCTATATATTATATATAATATAACTATTTTCTAAAGCTTAAAAATATTCCGTCATGATCACTATATGGTGTTTCATATGTGATACATAAGGTCATTGCAGAATCCACCCAATCTATTGCTGTTTCCTGTTTTGTTGTGGCGACCTTAGCCAATGAAGATTGAAATCCTAACTGTTGTAATCGAGCCTTCAAATCGTCAGTTGCTGTAAGCGACATATGCTAAAGTCACCAAGGCCTACTGATGGTCCATTACATTGTTCAGTTATCTGACAGATATTATTTTCCACTTGGTTTCTAAATTCCGGAAGTCTATAGCGGGGGTTCCTGTACACAAGTGATATGGAAACTGTTGAATTGTTTACGTTTAACAGTTGGTAAACGTTTGTTGAACCGGTGTCGTTCCTTGAAAATTATCCTTCTGATAGACCTGGGCATCTATCTTGCTTGTAGTATATTTTAAGACCGTTGGCAGGGCGTCGTCGGGATGACCTTGTTTCTCCATCAAGGCGTGCAATAACATTGTAGCCTTCTATTGGGAATTCTTCTTGAGGTCCAGGTCTCGGCAAAGCACAGAATATCAGCAAAACAAATCAGCTTGTCTGATCTGATATCTTCAATATGCTTGTTTAGGCTCCTTAATTTGATAATAAATATCCAGGCGTTGTGAAGCATGCTCCTTCAATCTATTAAGTTGAGTTTTAATTGGATCCTGGGGTCCAAATGGGTTCGGTGGAGAAAATGTCCCGATTATATATAATCCATTGGCACTTGTTGCTCTGCTACATCCTACATATAAAGCTGATCTGCTAACTCTACACTCTAGATGAACAGCAACTTGTGTGTATGTTCCACCCTGACTTTTATGTATCGTGATGGCTTCAGCTGGAGTGACGGGGAACTGTCTACGTTCTATGGTTATTTGCTCATTTCGCTTGTATTGGAATGATCGGACCACGCTCATGATTGGTGTCCAATCTGCATTGCGACTGTGAGGCTGCTTAGAACGTGCAAAGCTTCCAACTCTTGATTCTGCGAATTTTATCCATAGTCGCACCACTGAACTTTCAGATCCATGTGATTCGGAATCAACCTGCATTAGTTCCCCCGTAGCACCATTGACGAGACCATCACTTATGCTTATGCTGACTGTCACCATATATGATCGAAGTCTTGAGTAAAGCATTCCTTGTGTTTCCGATGGCTTAAAAGACTTCACAGCTTCTAAAATGTTTGCCCTGCTGCGTTCTGTTAGGGAACTTGACTTAGTTGTATCCTTCGCAGTCGAAATGAACTCCTCGGTCATCGTGTTCGCCAATTTAGTTACATTAAAATCATTTGCTCCAGCATTTGAATAAAATAGATGGATGGCTTCGTTTGGTATCTCATTACAGGTCTTTTCCCTGCTTTTGATTAATTGGATGTCAGCGTGTGTCATATTTGTTATT